TGGCCCATTTAATCCGGTTGTGGAAAGTTTCTGAAATGAGCGTATAGCGGAGCAAACTGCCAGTCTGAACTCGGCCCCAGTGTTTCATTAATTTCTGGGGGGAGGGAGGAGTTGGTAAACTAGAATAATATGGCTAGCTCTCTAGAAATATCTTTTGGATGTCATATACGAAAATGACTTTGGGAAGTGCCCAAGTTGGGTGTCTAACTTTTGCATATTCAGATGAGACTTTGTAGCTTAAGTTGTAATATTGTTAAATGCAGAACTCACAAATGGATATGGTAAGAGACTCTGAGATGTTTCTCGGTCTATTTGCCTTAAACTAACAAACATGCTTGGTACTAGATCTATTCGATACCATCTGCTATTCCAGTTATTAACATTCCATGCTGCACCACAGGAGAAAAATGTTAGTTTTTGTCCTGTCTCAAAAAGGAAGCTGGACTTTCTGTCTGTTGATAGAACACTTCAAAGTGTTTGTCCTGCCCTAATGCCACCATGCTGTTTTTCTGCATGGAGGTGTTTTTCCACACAGAGCTGAGAAATGTGAAGTGTAATTGTGACCTCTTATTATAGACAAACAGGGAGGAAGAAAATAGTTCAAAAAGAATCCCCAATGTTTCTCATTTTATTCCCTGTGGACAAAATTAATAATGAGGATAACCTGTCCATATAGTGAAAATAATCTGAATTATTTTTATTCCAGCTGGTTTTGTCTCTAATTCAGGCACAGGTTCTGCAGTCTGTGCAGTTTAGTTTACCACTAATATGGAGTAGGCTGCACAGCCTAGTTTTAGGAAGGTGAGGAAGAAGACCAGTGAGCAAAGGTGGTACGCAAGCCTAACCAGAGCGAGGATACATGGATCTCAGTAACTCTTATTTTTTAAAAAAATCTCAATGTTGACTCTTAGCAATGTCTCTCCCTCTAGTCTATTTTGATTCTAGTAGGACATTGCAATTAAAACAGGATTTGCAACATCCTTTCTTTATTGCATGCTTCAAGCATGCAAATTTAGCCCAAGCTCTCCTGACCCAGTTATGCATTCCATTTGATATCAATCAAAGGCTTGTGATTGTGAACTACTCCTTCCTTTCCTATTTTCATATCACAGAGGTCACCTTAGGGCTTAATTGCTGATGCTGTAATTAGGCCACTGTTTAAAAAGGCGTTAATCAGCATGTTGTAGCATGTGGTGTGTTCATCAGTTTGCCCAGTCTTTTTGTCTACAGATTCGATGAATTTTCAGTTAGTGTGTTGTTACAGCATCCAGATGCTTACCTCTTGGGGGAAAAATCTACTGTTCCTCCACAAAAAAAATCAATAAGAGCTACTGCAAGACACGCACTTTCATAAAGGCGCTTAAGGAAACCTATGAATGTCACCCCATCTAGCAAGGATTACCTATGTATGGTAAGCAGATCATGGCTCAGTCTTCTGTGAACACTCCAATAAATGCCAACGGCAGTTTGTTGGGAATGTTTGCAGTGTTCCTGCCATGCTTTGCAACAATGACCAAATTGCTGGTGTTTGTCAGATCTGAGAACACCAGTCACCTGGGAACAGAGCAGAAGAGAAATCCCAGACACCCTAAATCAGGGTGGTCAGTGTTTACTGTGGCAACCATCCATTTGGCAGAAGAGATTCTTATTATCATCAGCCCATTGTAGTAAGTTGATTTTTAACCATCCACTGATGGTTCAAACATCCATTTAACCATTAACTCTTACACCCAATACTCTTCATTCTTTATTTAGAATAGAATGAGTTTCACAGGAATGCAGTCAACTCTGTACTGTGTTCCTTTGCCTGAAGCCAAAAGCCTAGCTTCATTAGAAGAGTGTCGTTATGGGCTGCTCAATATTCCATTAAAAGTAGCAGTACTAGATTATTGATTACAGATTTCAGTTGGGTCTCTTACAGAGAAAATAAAAAGGAGTCTTGTGGTTATTTGAATGGAGCGAAGGATATCTGGGGGTTTTTTTTGTTTCACTGCCAGTGCATGCTGCATAAGATGAAACTGGGTAACATTAATTTAAAATATCATTCCTGGCTATAAAAATATTTGGGGGGGTTTCTGTGTACGATCCCTCTGTAATCACTCTGAGTTTATGTACAGTGACCAAGAAAGAAAAAAATGTCTACTGATGTACCACATATAGTTGCACATGAAATATAGTTCAGTCTGCAAATGGCAATAGTTTTGTTGATCGCCATAATTCTGTTTCTAAATTCTCCAGTACAGTGCTTTCAGTATAATACAGATTGCTCCTATTAAAAATCATCAAAGATTCCAATATGCGCAAAATTCTCAGAGATACCTAAGCTGCACGCAGATGAAAATAATATAGTCAAGGAAAACAACACGGTAATATTTATTATATTTTTAAAGTCTATGCTATTGGCTTTTCCCCTTCATCTTCTGACCTCATAGTGATATATAATAATGAGTATTTTAATTACCGATGCATCCTGTAAGACTGAATTGTGTTTTAAGTGGTTAATTGTGTAATTTTATCGCACCTTGGGTGCCTAAATTGTTTTAATCGTGCTGTATTTTATTGCACTGTTGTGCCTATGTAAGCCGCCCTGAGCCCGCATGCGGGGAGGGCGGAGTGTAAATGAAATAAATAAATAATAATAATCTACCTGCATTTTGTTGAGTAACAACATGCGGGAAAGGGAGAGAAAATTCAAAATGGTGGCAGCTAATGCTTGGTGCAGAATCCCAATCCCAATGAGTTTTCAGCAAAAATCATTCTTGATGGGAATGAAATCAAGTCTTTAAAAAAAGGTATGGATTTTACCTCATAGTCTAATGCTACATAAAAAACTTACAACCAGTATGGTGTGGCAGTTATAGTAACACAGTAGGAGTGCAGAGACCTAGGGTAAACTCCCCCCCCCCAACTGTGGTCCTTCCAAACTGACATAATTTCCTTGGAGGAAGGGTTAGATAAAATATGATTGATACATACGTAAGAACAGTTTGAGCTTCACTTTTGCCAGAGTGATGGGGTGATTTTGGCTAGTTCTACTTTCTTGCTGCAGTCCCCTTTTTTGTGTGGCATGTTGGCCTAGAGGGTCTTCAAGTTCTCACCAACTGCTTCATAACAATCTGTTATTGCCTTGCCTTTTATTTTCATTTTCAAACAGGTTTCTTTAAATTATTTACACTGGGAACTGCTTCCATTAGACTCCATTAGGTGATCCATGTGATGGTAGAAATACTTTCCTGTACCTTGCTGCTTTGAACAAGGGTTTATGGATCAGAGCTACTATCTTCAATTATCAATAGAACATAACAGGAAATACCAGACTATTGAACTGAACTCTGTAATTCCTTCCCACCATGAAACAGATTTCAAGAATTTTTCATTTCTAGTTGTAATAAATTATGCACACATCATCAATATATCTCATTCTCAACATGGCCCTACGTGTGGATACTTAAATCCAGATAATGTATCCATGAACAGGCAGGACAGATCTTTGAACAAGTTTGAAAAAAGTCAAGATTTGCAGAAAAATCTGAAATTTTAAAAAGAGAACAGGAGGAGGAGGAGAAAAATGGATTTATACCCCGCCCTTCACTTCCCGAAGGGGTCCTGGAACAGTTTACAAACTCCTTTCCCTTCCCCTCCCCACAACAGACACCCTGTGAGGTAGGTGGGGCTGAGAGAGTTCTGACAGAAACTGCTCTTTTTCAAGAACAGCTTTGACAGAACTAGACTTTGCTCAAGGTCATCCAGCAGCTGCAAGTGGAGGAGTGGGGAATCAAATTGGGTTCTCCCAGATTAGAGTTCACACTACACCAAACTGGCTCTACACCAAACTCTACACCAATCTACACTTTACCAAACTGCCCCCAAATAATAGAAAAGCACCTATACCTAAGTAAGATCTCAAAAGCCACTGTGGGGATTGCTACACAACCATATTTCCAGCCTTCAAACTTTGGTTTCTTTCAGTAAAAGGCATGGGAGGAGGGGCTTTCCAGGGCTATTTCAGGTTCTCAGGCCACCTGCTCCTCTCTCTCCTGTCCTAGAAGGACTCATTGCGGCCACGGCCAGCAGCAATCATCAAGTAACTTGCTACCATGCAATTTATGCAATTCACGCAGTTGAACCAGTGGCTACTGGATGACTTGTTGCCACACACACAACTTGCATGGCTCAGCAGTGGTCACTACACAACTTACATGAGTGACTTGTTACCACACAGCCTTTGCCATTTTGCCAGACTTTTCCCAGGGAGGAAAGGTAGGGAAGGAGGGAAAACGGACAGCCACTGTAGTGTTTAGTTAAACTGCCAGACTAGGATCTGGGCGGGATGTGGAATGATATAGCATAGCCCGATCTAAACAGATCTCAGAAGCTAAGCAGACCACCTCTACTTAATTATGCTTGTTTTGAAAACCACATGGGGTCACCGTAAGTCATCTGTGGTATGATGATACTTTACACGCACACACACACACAGAGAGAGAGAGGATCTGGGAGACCAAGGCTGAAATCCCTGCTCTGCCATGGAAGTTTGCGGGGCGACCCTGGGCCAGCCAATCTCGGTCATAAATAATAAATAAAACTGAAAACTCAGGGGGCAGATAAAAGAAAGGTTGGATGGCAAGGGGAAAGCAGAGAAAGTAGAATACGGGGGATGCCAGAAGAGAAAGAGGAAATAGTATGTGAAAGGGGATAGAGGGTGGAATGAAGTGATCCCTGAAAGTCCTTTCAGGCTTCCTGTTCATAAAACTATCATTCTTGCTCAACTTCCATTGTCTTACTTTGCAATAACACACTAAAGCAGAAACATAAATAGATATCTTCATTTATTTATTTAGAGAATGTATCTAAAATACAATATATTTCTTTAAATTATGACATTATTTTTAAACAGAAAGATTCTCTGTATTATACCTATGGTATCCACAGCTTTTACACATAATAGTACTTAATTTAGATCAGCTGACATTTTGTAATTTTTAAAAAAATATACTAACATTAAGACATGATTAAAATGTATGGATGAAAAGGAAAAAATATTTACACTTCAAACTTTTTAAAAGCTAAGACATTTAATGTTCAATATTACTTTCGTATTTTAATGCCTATGATAATAGAAGGTTGACAGAAGGTAATGTCCCAAATCAGATGTAAAATATCTGTATTAGACTGCATTCCTGTGCTTTTACAAAAGATTCAAGTTACTGAGTACAAGTAACCTCATATGCTCTATGAGGTTATTTTCTTCAAAAAAGAAATGGCTTATTTTTTATGTTACTTTTCATCATGCCCCTTAACTAATGGCCACAGGAAGAAATCCTATGATAGCATCAGCAGCAATTGCACAGTAATTCTTGTCAAGCATCACACCATGTTTCTATTCGTACCCTGCACACACACTGCACGCTACATACATACCCACCCTGCAGCAAATATGCTTTCCTCTAGGCCTGTGGCCCTTCACATTTCATTAGTTAGAACTACAGAGGATGATAGGTAGAAAAGAGAGCACTAGGGGAAAAAAGAGATGTTGCCAGTGCATGTATGGCAGTAGCTGGATTTGTGCTTAGCAGAAAGAACTCATCCCTCAAGGACACGGCAACGTTTAATGGGCACAGCTTATTGGAATGAGGCTCTAACTTCTCTGCCCTTCTGTGGCTGGCACGGGCGCCAGTTGTCAACCATGGGACATGGTGGCTCATTCTCATCATAGAAGGAAAGGGAACGGAGTTTGTCAATCTAGAGGGGAGAAAAAAGAACCGGGTATAAATCAGTATGAGTATCTAAATAGTGACTTTCAGCTATGGAGTATCTGCTGGAAAATCCTTCCTCTTTTTAGGTGTGTATGTATGAGTACGTGGCAGATTTCCCAGATAAGATTTCCCTTTTTGCCTTTTGCTAGTTGACACAGCAGTTTAATTTTTAATTATAATGCCCTCAGTCACCTTATCGCGATGTTTTTTCTCTTGTGAAGAAAGAGGTGAGTGTGGTGTGAGAAAAGCATCAAAGAAGAATAGACTAGAGCATATGCTTTGTACGCAGAAGGCCCCAGGTTCAGTCCTTGATTTTACCTGTTAAAAAGGTCTCAGGCACCAGGGCTACCTGCCTAAGAGAATGAATGGCTGCCACAAGTCAGAGTTGAGAAAATGAGTTTAGATGTACCATTTGTCTCATTCAGTATAAGGCAGCTTCATACCTTCATATGCTAAGTAAAAATATGTTAAGAATGTGCTGAGACTATTAACGTGCTTGACACATAATCCAGAATATAGGCCGGTTATAGCAGTTGTATGTTTGTGATGCTGTATGTTTAGAATAGCTTGGCAAGTATCTAAGTACTGGCAATACGTGCTTTTCAAAATAGCTGGATATTTTTGCTAAACATCCATAAGGATGAGATTTATTCAGTTATAGCTGAGATGTCTCTACAAGTCCTCTGAGATGCAGTCTCCAAGTTTCCCTCTGTGATATTCATGTATATATTTATTAAGATCTAACTTCAAATTTCAGAACAGATGGATTTTATTATGCAGAACTCATCCATACGTAGCACTCTCTTGTGTGTTAATGCATGTATAATCAATTGTGAGTTGTATAGTGCCATCAGGAGGTCCACCAGTGGGGCCAGGACATTAGAAGCCCTCCCACTGCTGACCCCCCCAAGCACTATGGAGACAGAGCATCACTTGCCCCAGAGCCCTTTTCTCCAACTCGAATGATAAAAGGGTTGGAACACTTTCCCTATGAGGAAAGGTTAAGGCGCTTAGGGCTCTTTAGCTTGGAGAAACGACGACTGAGGGGTGACATGATCAAGGTTTATAAGATTATGCATGGGATAGAGCAGGTAGAAAAAGAGGTACTTTTCTCCCTTTCTCACAATATAAGAACTCGTGGGCACTCAATTAAATTGCTGAGCGGTCGGGTTAGTACGGATAAAAGGAAGTACACCCAAAGAGTGATTAACACTTGGAATTCACTGCCACAGGAAGTGGTGGCGACTACAAGCATGGACGGCTTCAAAAGGGAATTAGATAAGCATATTGAGCAGAGATCCATCAGTGGCGATTAGCCACAAGGTACAGATAGGGGCTCTGGGGCAAGTGATGCTCTGTCTTCTTGGTGCTTGGGGGGGGGGTCAACAGTGGGAGGGCTTCTAATGTCCTGGCCCCACTGGTGGACCTCCTGATGGCACTGGTGTTTCTGGCCACTGTGTGATACAGAGTGTTGGACTGGATGGGCCTTTGGCCTGATCCAACATTGGTGTCTCTTATGTTCTTATAGTGGTTAGAAATAGTCATGTCTATGAACTGACACAAGTGAACTGAAACTGCTTATGCAAAAACAAGAAGAGCTACGCCATACAAGAGCATGTCTCTCATGACTGCCAAGATAGAAGGTAATTGGGCAGTAATGTGTTTTTGTGTGTGTGACGGAGAGGCGTGCATCTCAACAGATGATAGAAGGGATATTGGCTATGTACTTTTTATATTGACTAAATTTTCTACACACCTGATGTTTTCCCCTCAAATGTTTGCTTCAATATCCATCCCTTAAGGACATTAGCTGTACAACTCTAAGCAGAGTTACACCGTACTGAGTCCATCGACAGCAATGGATGTTGAAGGATGTAACTCTGCTTAGGTCTGTACTGCCAAGCACACTGAGATCTGATGTGATCATGCTCACTTTTCTGTCTTCTTGTGAAAGCTTTGCCATGGACAGCCAGTCTAGAGAGTGTGACAAGGACTAGAGAGACCTGGGTTCAAATTCCCACTTAGCCATGAAGGTCACTGGGTGATCCCTGACCAGTCTGTTTCAGCCCAGGTACCTCGCAGGGTTGTTGTGAATATAAAAATGGAGGGGAAGGGAGAACGATGTATGCCACCCTAATCTCCTTGGAAGAGCAATGTTAAAATGTAGCAGACATACAGATATGCCTGGGATGAAATTGAAAGCATATGTTTTGGCACCCACACTGAATAGGCTGGCCAAACCTGACACCTGGCAGAGTTCTATAAGAGTCTGTAATGTCTGAAATCCACCTTCCGTGTGATTTCAACCCTTCATATGTAAGTTTATTCTTAACAACACTGCACAGTATTAGTGGCTATTGGACATCGTCCATGTGATTAAGTCAAACCACAATAGAATTATCTTCAAATATTATGGCCACCAGGTTAAAAGCACTGATCAACAGAACATGGAACACATAGAAGCATGCTAAGATTTGAACCAATCCTCAGTGCTACCAAAAAAAGGAATATACTAGACAGTTGCAGCTGTACATCGTTGAGTGGTTACTTATTTAGTAAGGCAGCATGTGTGGGTTTGCTGGTACTAGTGTCCTGCTGGTTTGTTTGCCCACAGAAATGTTTAGCTTCGTCCTTGTTTTTATGCGATTTATTTTTTCGTTTAGACATTAATGGCTAAATTACATAGAGGGGTTGTGTGAGAAGTACTACATTCTGAGAAATGGAGAGTGGTGGAAACATTTATGAGATTGGTGTGGTGTTATAACAGGCTTATATCCACAGGTTGGATACTGCAGAAAATTCTTGCTGACAAAAGGGGGGGTGGACTTTCTCTGATTCCTCGCTCCTGCTGCAGACCCCTGGCTCCCCTCTGATATTGTTCCCCTTCATATTTCCTCAGTGGGGATTTACTGTGGGATCCAACCTACTATCTATTAATATTTGATACTGAAAAGAATTCAGTTTTTAAAAGTGGGAGAGAAACTGAAGTACCTGATAACCTTTTCACTTATTCATGTAGGCTCAGACATAGTTCAACAAATCCCAAATTGGCCATATTATATAATATTTTACAAATAATGTTTTACAAATACTAATGTTTCACAAATATTTGGTGTGACTGTGATTTCTCATGGTAAACTGCAGATATCTCTAGCATGGTTGGAAGAAACAGAATTCATTTTCTGATAAATACAAAGTCTGCAGCAAAAAAATATCTACCTGTTCCTTGCTGACGGTTACAGGCTGCTTCAGAACAATCCAGATGACGCATTCAAGCAGAGGAGGAGTAGTCAGAGATCCGAGGTAAGTCCAGAAATCGTGGGAGGCAGGAAGTAGACATGCGGGATCAAAGTTTGTGAAGGCAGCCTGTTTGCCCTGGAGCAGATAAAATAACTCAATAAGACAACCTACCGTGTGATTAGATGATACATACATACCTTGTTAGCAATTATGGAATTTGGACGGGAGGCTCCTTAATACTTGCCAAAAAAAAAGTGTGCTGCTATTGGAGAAGGTGGTGGAGGAAGACGGGGAGAGAGGCCAGAGCCTGAAACCAGCTCCTATGCATTTAAGACCTGTATGGCAAGGAGAGAACTGGCAGATGCAAGTTCTAAGGTCATTGTCATAGGGAAAACTGCACCGCTGAGTTTTTCCAGAAGCGTCAAGTGCATGTGTATCCAGGGATTATTGCCAGTGACAGATTATCAAATCTAGCCTAGTGAAGGTGCAACCATCTTCCTTAAAAATGATGGTGACTATGAGGGCCAATTAAAATCCTGTGAGTAAGGGCAGGCTGGGTTCCTCCCTTTGAATAGACAATATTCCTCAAGATGGTTGAAAAAAACCAGAAACACAGTTGAAAGTAGGGATGCCAACCTCCAGGTGGTAGCTGGAGACCAATGTTCCCTCTAAGCTGTGGAGTCTTGTGAGCAAAAATTCTACTTTGTGAGCTACTGGCATTAAAGTTGTGAGCAAGCTATTTGGCTACTGCATAAATCAGTTTGCTCTGGAGCCATCCTTCCTGAGCTGAGACAAAAATGTGTGAGCTGAAGGCTAAAAAACTGTGAGCGGGCTCACACTAACTCAGCTTAGAGGGAACATTGCTGGAGACACAGATCAGTCCACCTGGAGAAAATGGCCACTTTGGAAGATAGATTCTATAGCATTATTCTCCACCCCTCCCCAAACGCCACCTTCCTCAGACTCCACCCCCAAATCTCCAGGTATTTCCCAATCAGATCTGGCAACCCTAGTTGAAAGCAATGATACAAGTTCCTGTTGCATGAATGTAGTTTCTCCTGTCTAGTGAAGGTGTCCTTATCCAGCTAAAATATAGACAGTAAGAAGCTGAAAGCCTTGTAGTTTTGTACTTGAGAGAGAAAAACAGTCCCACAATGCTATACCACTTAGCTACCTCACAGACAGAAGCATTACCTTGTGTTTAATGGAGCTCAGGGAATCAACAACTTTCTGTATTCCAGGACAGGTGCTTCCTACCTGTGATATAAAAGCCATGAAGAGAAAGTTATATATGGGTACATAAGTACTTAAACCATATTCACAACCATTTATATCTCAGTGCTACAGAAGTTAATCTGTCACCTGAAGACAAAGTTTAAACGTATCTTATTCACAACCATTTATCTCAGTGCTACAGAAGTTAATCTGTCCATTAGATTTTAAAAAACTAATTAAACTATTTCAGCCTGCTCATGAATACATTTAAATGGAAATAATTTTCACTGATTTTAGTGGGATATCATTCCAAGTATGGGTAATTTTGTGCAACGTTTCCTCATCAGGCACAGGATAATTATGTATACATGAAATATGAAATACGTATAGACAATCTCAAAGTAAAGGGTAAAGTTACACAATATTTATCATTTGTCTCTTGAATACTTGAAAGCCTTCCTGGGTATCACCTTTATATATTATAAAATGAAAAGTAGCTGATCAAACTTGTTTTTACTTTGTGTAACTTATGCAAAGACTTTATATTTTGTGCTCATCACACCTGGCCACTGGAGCACAAACCTTTATACAGGAAGCTGCTCAAACAGTGCTATCCTAAACAGTTATACTTTTCTAAGTCTATAGACTAAGAAGAGTGTAACTCTGTTTAGGATTGCACCGTAAGCAAATCTAAGATCGGAGCCTCAATAATTAGCATTTATGAGTGCAGAAGTGAAATTATATGCATCTTCTTAAGTATGCGGTGTAGCTCAGTTGCATTAATCATTCATCTATTTACTGTGCAAATCTATATATCTAATAGCCAAGTTGCCCCCTCTGTGTGGATATCTAAATCTGCACTTCGGGGGCACTTGGGGGGGCAGAGAGATTTTCCTGCACACTTGGAGCAGTCCCAAGGTGTGTAGAAAAATCTAAAAAGTTGAAAAAACATACGGGGGATATTTAAATCCCCCAAAAGTAAAAGTGTTCCCTGAGCATGCGCAGAGAACACTCTGGCCATTGAGGGGGAGGCTCGGCAAGCCTAGTGGCTGGGAGCTGCTCAGGCCTCACTGCCGGTGCCTGGGGGGAGTAGGAGAAGGCTCAGTGGGCCCGTGCGGCTCGCCGCCAGTGTGGGTGGAAAAGGATTGGCGGGCCCAGTGGCTGGGAGCCGTGCGGACCTCACCGCTGGTGCGGGGGGAGAAGGATCGGTGGGCCCGGCAGCTGGGAGCCACATGGGCCTCGCCATCATTGTGGGGGGGGTGGGGGAGAAGGCCCACCTGCAGCTGCTTCCTCCTCCTCCTCCACGTGGAGGTCCTTCTCTCCCCCCATGAATATCACGGGTCTCCACTTCTTGTATCTTTATAAAGTGCATGGGCTTGTATCCTGCTACTCTGCTCAGCAAAGTGTGAGGCCCTCCTCCAGCCTAAGGAGGCTTCCTTGGACGCTCACCAGAGGAAGAGTCACTTCCATTAGTGGGAGGCCCATTAGGCTGCAGAAAGACTTCAAACTTTGCTATAGAGTGATGAGACAGAAGATGCTGTGTCTTTGCTTAGTTTCAGAGGGTAGCCATGTTGATCTCCAGTAGAAAAGCTAGATTTGGGTCCCGCAGCACCTTAAAAAGACTAACAAGACTTTCAAGGTATGAGCTTTTGAGAGTCAAGCTCCCTTTGTCAGCTGTGTCTTTGCTTCTGGCACATGTATTGTGCTGACTGATTTGTGATGAAAGCAGACCTGGGTCACAGCAGCTGTGTCACAGCAACTTCTTGGCCCCTTCTTACCCTATGATTTCTGTGATTTTTTAAAATTGACATATTCCATTCTCAGAAGGTGAAGGATTAAAATAAAGTGACCTCAATGTAGGAACACAATGTAGACACACTTAATGGCTGTGGAAGAGTAAATTCTCTTTGTAGACTAGGGATAAATCACCTTGGAGACAAAGTTCTGTGAAATCAGCAAGGAAGGCAATAAGGAAGATTAAGGAACTAACCTTCAAAAACACACCCAAGACAGCCAAGCCATCAGGATGCTTCACAGCTTCTGCAAATTTACCGTACTTTGTGTTCCAGTGAACCAAATGAAGCTGAGAATGAGAATGAGAGAGAGAGAGAGAGTTGTTAGAAAAGGCCTTCTTTCTCTTATTAAGTCATATAGTCATTTCACTGCAACACATGAAAATGAAGAACTACTCATAACTTGTTTGACCAGTGATTTCCTTTCCCATGCAGCAGAAATGCAAATATATAGATATTTGTGCTGTTCTCTCACACCATTTAGATGGTGCCTAAATGGGCAAACCGACGAAAAGATAAAACGCTTATTAGAAGCAGTAACAAAAATATCATTTGGACACTTCATGCCTGATCACTTTTATGCCAGATCACATTCAACTCCTGTAGTAATTAAAAAAAAACTTTCTTAAACAAAAATAAGAAGAGCCCTGCTGGATCAGAACAACAGTCCATCTAGTCCAGCATTCTTATTTACATAGCAGCCAAGCAGTTGCCCTGGAGGGTCAAATGTTGTAACGTGGCCAAAGAACAAGAGAAACTGGTACCACAACTTTTTTAAAAAAATGCAAAAAGTACAGGAAAAAAGAAAACAAGCTGTTGTCCTGGAGGGCCAAATGTTGTAGGTTGCAGCAAAAGGACAAGAAAAAACTAGTGCACAACTTTAAAGACCCTGTTCCACGCCATAACTGATTGATATTACTAGGATCAGGGGCGGGGTGGGGGCTGGCACAGAGCAGCACCACCCATGATTAACTTAATGTGCAAGAGAGTTCATATGCTATAATGTCTATCCTCACTATGTGTGTTAGGGTTGCCAACTTTGGGCTGAAAAATTCCTTGAAATTTGGTGGTGGAGCCTGGGAAGAGCAGGGTTTGGAGAGGAGAGGGACCTCAGTAGGGTATAATGCCATAGACTCCACCCTCCACAGCAGCCATTCTCTCCAGGGCAACTGATCTCTGTTGTCTGGTAATTACTTGTTATTCCGGGAGATTGCCAGTTCTCACCTGGAGGTTGGTAACCTCAATGTGTGGGCTGTTAAAGCCCAGTTTTGATTTGGACCATTTCTAAAGCATGTTTCTGAATATCTAATGTAGATATGGACAGAAGGCTGCTCCCAGAAAATGAAAAACAGGTCTTACCTCTGCATCGTATTTCACACCATCCACTGTGTGCTCAGATCCTTGACCTTCACGGGATCCCCAGTGAATGTGGAATTGAATCAGCCTGTAAGTTCCTTCAAGTGGGCCCCCTTTCAGCACTACAATTCAAATAAACCATGACAAACCTTATCTCCTGTAATGAAGACTAACTTCAAAACACAAAGCAGGATTTCTAACTAATATATACGGTTGCCCATACAAATCTATCTTAACAAGAGATATAACTTGAAAAAGATGCAAACATTTAGATATTCTTCCCCCATGACAACATGTTTTCCCATGTTGTTCCTACACTTGTTGCAACATCTCGGTAGTTGCCAGTGAAATAAGTTTAAAATAAATCTAATGTGAGGAAGGAATATGTTATCTGTTTCTTTGTTAAACATTAATAGATACTGCTTTGCTGGCTACCGTGTCTTAACCACCACACAGAAACCTCATTATACTTTTATGCTGTATTTTTTTCATTGCTTATGTCACACAGTGAAAGTATTAATCTTATACCAAAGGGTAGAATTCCAACATGCTTATTTATAGGCCTTAACATTTTTCATAGGACTACTGAAGACTGCTCCACACATCCATGCACATCATGTTCTCTCCTCATTTGGGGAGTGACACTAGAACACGCTGTGCATTCCAGAAGTTCTCGGTTTTACTCCCTGGTATCTCCAGTTAAAGAATCTCAGGTGGCAGATGCTGATAAAGACCTTCCTCTGCATGAAACCCTGGAGAGCTGCTGCTAGCTGAAGTAGATAATACTGAGCTAGTGTACCAGAGGTGGGATCCAGTACATAACAGCTTCATATGACCATAAGGCTAAGGTAAAGGTAAAGGTAAAGGTTCCCTTGCTCGAAAGCCAGTCGAATCCGACTCTAGGGTTGCGGTGCTCATCTCCGTTTCAAAGCCGAAGAGCCAGCGCTGTCCGAAGACGTTTCCGTGGTCATGTGGCCGGCATGACTAAACACCAAGGCGCACGGAACGCTGTTACCTTCCCACCGAAGTGGTACCTATTTATCTACTTGCAATTTCTTGCTTTCGAACTGCTAGGTTGGCAGGAGCTGGAACTAGAGACGGGAGCTCACTCCGTCATGCGGCAACTCGGGTCTCCAACTGCTGAACTAATGACCTTCCACAGCCTGCAGTTCAGCGTCTTAATAACTTGAGCCACCGCTACTTAGTATTAAATGTCTCCATTGATAAACACCATCTTATTTATTTAGATATGTATACCCTGCTTTTATACCCAATGGGAAACCAAACTGGCTTAGAACCTTGTTCACCCCCTCCTCCAATTTATACTAACAACTCTATAAGGTAAGTTAGGCTGAGAGAGCGACTGGTCCAAGGTCACCCAATGACCTCCCATGGCAAGGTGGGGATTTGAACCTGAGCCTCCCTGATTCTAGTTGGACACCTAACCACCACACCACACCGGCTCTTTAATAGCTCCTCAGTTGTGCCATCTGTTCTGTAATGGTTCCTACAGAAATGCAAGTCACCAAGTGATGTACAGGAAGAATAATGTTGAAATAGGAGGGAGCATGGAGAGATACCTTAAAACGCATTCGTTGATTTAAAATTCTCAATGTGAATACAGAGAATTTAGACTACTCAAACATCACTACCCATATTTGGTCTTTCTGTGTTCAGTGAAAGTATGAGGAATATTCTGGTGCTTGGTGAACTATTTTGACACCACCGTTTCATTTCAGTGTGAGGAATCATGTGTCTTCAGTAACGCAGAGGATGTCTGGCTGAGGAAGATCACTTGAGAATGTATTCATTGATTACATCCTCTTCTCACCATCTGTACGAAAAATCCAGTTAATGCCAGTGGCCTTTTGTGTATGGATTGTATACACAGGATTTGCTCTTCCTGTCTTTTCTTTTCGAGTGATGCAGATGGAAATAAGAACCCTAGAATTAATAGTTTATAACTGAGCAACAGCCACATGGAATTTTCATGCCACTTTGCTATTGTGTGAAATTCTAGCCGGTGCTCAAGTCATTAGATCATCTGAAGAGTAACAATGTTAAGCCAAGACATGTGAGTAATGCCAAGCTGAGAACAAACTCTGTTGCCATCCTTCACCTTGATGAGAATGCAGTAGAGTTATGCCTCAGTTCACAGAACTGCTTCTGTGACTTCCCAGAACAGGCTGTGGCATAGGAATCAGGGGAAGGCAATGCATGGGGCATCCATGAGTTCCCCAATGAACAATGTTTTCCTTGCACAGCAGCCTTTTGCCCAGGCCAATCTATCTGGATCTGCATGCCGATCAATTCCCTATAGGAGTTCTCGCTATGCAATTGGGACCTGTAAAAAGGTCTTATTAAAGATAATGCTTTTCCTTGAGAAAACAATCACAACCTCCGTAATTAAAATGGGCAGATTGCATTTTGACCTACTTCAGACATCAGAATGAAGGCCTCTCCATTCCACATACTTTATACTAAGTTGGAAACAGGGGAAAAGATCGTTGATAATGTAAATTATCTTTGTCATTATTTTGCTTTCATTTAAACGCATATTCATGATGTGCAATGATTTATTATATAAGCACATACGTTCTTTTACATGTGTAAACACACACACACAAGTGTATGGCTAGAGAAATGCAAATTAAGTGGACAGCAAAATAAGTAATTTTTCCCCAAATACCCCAGGCTTGAGTATATTGTTCTACTGATGAGATGAGACAGATTAATAAGGATATTAAAGGATTAAGCTGTGTTGTCCCTGACTAACCCACAGGCCATTATTGACAAGTTCAATCAGGGTGAATTCTAATCACCATCCAGCAGCCCAATATACGGTACAGAATATCATATTTTGGGGAACATTTCTTCTTGAAAATATGCTATCTCCCACAGCCTATGTTCAGATAAACACTTGCATCTGAATGATTACAGACAGGACCTCATTTAACCAAAGTCACTGGTTCAGAACCGACAGAACAAGTTAGGTGTCATGAAATGTTCTGATATACCACTCACCCTAAAAAACATTTGAGTAGTTTCTTCTGATAAACAGCCATCTACCCTGAGAGATGTCAGTTGGGGACTTCAAGACAGCAAGAAGGGTTGTTCCAAGGAGATAACATTAAAAAAAATACATATCCAGCTCTCCTCAAACGCCCCTTTTCTGCATTTTGGTAGTTTGCCAGGGATTATGACTGGCCTTGAATGAACTATTCAACATAATCTGGAGAAATGGGAGAAAGCTTACTTTCTCTTGGGTATCCTGGGGTACAGGTAACTTGGGGCCACTTCTTATGTGACTGTGCCCTACGTCTGGTACCTTAACCCTCTCACTGCTCCCCCCAAACCATAAATATATGCTATAAGAAGAACCATGTGTCTGTTTCATTTAACATGCATATGTTAAAGAGTCATGTTTAGCCATGGTATGTACACAGATGTACATACAACGAAGTAGAAACATTTGCTTATCTCATACAATGGTGTACATGTGATCTGTGTAAGAAAGTTGTCATATGTGAAGCAACTGTAATAAACTGTGAAAGTTTGCAAACATGTCTCCAAGTGCATACATATGAGCACACACACATTCAATATTTACTTATTTACAGTGTCCCTAAGATGGATGGAATAGAAGGGGGATTAGTTTTTTCACATTCTGATTCCAGTGGGACTTACTTCCAAGTAAGACTGTTTACAATTTGACTTCATTTGGATATATTAAAGAAACATTGAGTACTAAAATAAGAAAATATATTTACATAATTGTTCAGTACATTTTCAATCAAGAATGTTCCAATAAAATCAAATATATAGGAGTAATCTGTTTAGTAAAGGAAAATTGGGACGAAGAAACTGATGGGGCAAATGTCATGGATGAAGTGGGCTTTTTTTATAGGGTAGGTCCTTATCTCCCTTTGCCTCTCCTACCCCCACATAAGATACCTGTTTATATTCATAGATGCTTATGCATATCTGGCCACTTATTAAACAGGATGAGGAGAAATTTCAAAAACATATTGAAGTACAGAAGGGTGGGTTCTCCTTAGTTGACACCCAAACGCTATATCAAAGAGTTCAGACAGGGTGAGGCTTAACGCCCAGCAAACAGTCAATATTTAGTGGGTTCTAGCATTAAATGCCTAGGGAGTTGTTCCATTTTTTAGTTATCACCCAAAAACATTTATTCTGCCTGAATGCCTAGGGAGTTGTTCCATAATTTTTGAGTTATCACCCAAAAACATTTATTCTGCCTTGTCAAGGTTTTCACTGACAAATTTAGAGCTAGAAGACATGTATAGAAATGATAATTATTATTCCCCCCACAACATTTAGCCCTTAGAATACTTATGTTTATGACCATTACATGTTAATAAATAAGGTACTATGAGCCATTAATGAAAATGTGAACAAAGTGCATCTGTTTTAGTGCGTCTTGTAATCTTTTGCACAATTCTCTATGTGTTTCCCGCCTTCCCCAGCTCCCACCACTGAAATCTGCAGTGGTGGGTATGGGGGGGGACCAGGTAGAGAACTCTGCAAAAGATTACAAGAAGGCTTGTGGAACACATTTCCCCTAACAGCACAATGACAACCATAATGACTGGGGGGGGGAAAGCAAAGTTTGAGTCCTGTGGCACCTTCAAGCCAACACGGCTATCCACCTGAATCTATAATGACAAGGGGGGGATGCAATCCTTTCATTGCTAAGTCATATGACTTAGCAAATTAATGTGCTGTGTTGATTCTCTACCATTGGAAGGCCTTCTGGCATTTCTGATGTTGTGCTTTAAAATGCCAAGTGCCAAATCCTGCCCACCGTGGTACTAGGAGGAACTGAGCTGAACAGATGAGTTCATGCATCAGGGTTCCAGTAACAATATTTTAATTTTCTTAAGTTTTATATTCTCAGCATTCTCTCAGCAAAGGATAGACCATTTTCTAAAGCAAATGCTAAACTATTTTCTTTTAAAATGAGGATCAATGTCCATAAGAATTATTGTGCTGGTGGGCAAGAAACTTCAGGGGATTTTGTAATAATGGAAGCAGAGCCCACCTCAGTACTTGATAGACACACACCTGTATTTGTCACAAGGCAGTGTGTTTTCTAAAA